AACAGTATATATTATGTATAGAAAAGAATAATAAAATTAGACAATGCTATTAGAAGTTTTGCTACTACTTTTTGTTTATCACAAGTTGCTTAAGTTCATAAAAAAGGTGATCAACTTAATAAATTACATCTTAATTCTGAAGAATTTAGATAATTTTTTTATAAATTAAATTTAATTTATTATATAAATAATATCATGGCATGTTTGTCTAATTTTTGATTCCAAAGTTAAGTTTTAGAGGCCAAATTTATTATTTATTTTTAAGATTAAACACTCTAAAAAAATTATTGACACTCTGGCCTATAATAATAATGCATCTAATATATTTTCTCATATATCTAACCTATTTTTCCCATTAGTACAACTCAGTTTAAAATTCTGTACACACAATTCAGATAAGCTTTTTTAAATTTATCGTTATATATATATATGAACATACAATTTAGCAATTTGCAATGACTGTTAGTAACATTAACAGTATTTTATGGATAACAGAAAATTTAAAAAGTATATCATCATTAGATCAGAATAACATTACATATATGTGAAGTTGATTAAATAACTCAAATTTTAGATATTTTACAAATGCACTGTAATAAATAAATAGGTATTATTTTAAATATATATTATTTTTTTATATATATTTCAAGTAATGTGTAGATTGTTATATATTAATATATTAATATACATAGTAATTTATTTTTTAATATTAATTTTTAGTTTTATCAATGATATGCTAAACATTCTAGCACTATGCGAAATAATTACTTGATATATTTCTGGTGTAATATATTCAACTATCAGTTTAATATATCCCTATATATGTTTATTAAAACAAAAATTTGCTTCAACTAGCAGTAATATAGTAGATGACTATATGGATTTAGTATATAAACTAGCTTTATCTGAGGATATAGATGAAACTGATAAAACCAGTAAAACTGATGAAACTGGTGAAACTAATAGTAGTACTGATAGCAATATTGAAGATTTAGAAGCTAGTTCTAATAATTACTGTGGTTTAAAAAATATTTATCATAAAATTTATAAAAACAAAAGCCATGGTCGTGGTCATATACGTGGGTGTAGTCATGGTCACAGTCATAGTCGTGGTCATAGTTGCAAGCATGAAAATAGATGTAGACATAATCGTAAATATAGTTATAAATATTATGGTAAGCATAGTTGTAAATATAATAAAATAGATTTAAGTGAACTTTTAAA